CCAGAAGAGGAAGATGTCAGAGAACGACTCGACGATGCTGAAGAGGCCATAAACAACCCAGTAGGTCAGCCACTGTGTGTCATCCTCTTTAATTTGGCTCTCGATGGCTTTAATACTGAATGAAGAGGAAGACTGATGAAGTGACGACTTATACAGTACATTAAATTTTAAGTCTAACTGTGTGCGCTTTTAAGAAAGGTACGCTGGGGACTGTTTATTTAAGCAGGAAATTTTCTCAATGTGTTTTTTTTGGCCTGAAACACTCAATGTGATTAGGGCAAGAACAATAAAAGTTTTAAAGTTTGTTTATAAAAAAAAATTAAATCCACAGGGTACCTTTAAGCAGAACTTAAAGCATAGGTTCACCTGCCCATATGTCGACAGAAAGACTTATTGGCCGCTGTAATGATTCCTCTTCCTTATATTGGTCATAACATAATCCCTTACTATCACAACTCCAAGTAACGGGGGACAAAAATCACAGTCCTTGCGTTGTGCAAATAGCATTCAGAAGTTCAGCCAAAGCGATGCTTCAGTAATCACACATAGCCTAATACAGTATTTTCAGAAGTTGTGAGTCTTTTAGCATAAAAACTTTTCTGATAGTGTTTTCCTTGCTGAGCCACAGTGGAAGAACTAACAGGAGAAATCATTACAGTGACCACTATCTTTCAATGTACTGTACGTATGGGAAAGTCAGTGTTGTGTTAAGACAGACTTAAAACAATCTATTCTTTACTTCTCACTTTTACTTGAACATAACAAATAACTACTGAAAGAAGATATGAAGAAAAAAAACAAACAAACAGTCTATGTCAGTCATCCATAAAGTAACAAAATTAAAAGTAAGATCCATTCTGAGCTGTAATACTAAAAGCAAAAACTGTGTTTTTCACAGCACATTTTGACATACTGTAGAAGGAAAAGCACAAGTGTAATCAATGTAATCAATTGAACAATGGCTGCATTTCATTTAGATGTCACATCCATAGCTCGGGTATTGCACATACTACTGACTTATCACAGAGCCATAATTAAAGAAACATGTGCGTTCATTGCTAAGACAAATGAAACTGTCTAGTTGACACTTTGTATTAAAATGGTCATATTATGCTCATTTTCACGACTCCAGAGTGGTAGCCTAAGTTATTAATCTCTAACAAACTGATCTTTCATATGTAAGGTACTGTACACTGTCTCTACATCACAGTAACAACTTCATGTCCATTGCTCAGTGTGTTTCTCCACCAGTGTTTTTGAAGACATGCATGACTAGCCGCTAGGCGAGCATTATGATGTGTTACATAGTGACGCTGATATGTTACAGAGGTAAAGGCTGGACTACAATCAAACTGTTTTTTGACAGTTTGAGAGCAGTGTTTTGTTTTCTGTTGGAGATGGTAACTCCCTTTGGGCAGGGCTTTTTCACTTCACAAACCTATTACATGCACAAAAAAGATATAACACATTAAAGGAAAGGGAAAAAGCATAACATGACCTCTGAAATATACTTATGGAATACTATATTTTCTAAATGCTTTACTTTTTCCACAAATTGTGTCATTTTGGCATTTATTGAAATAAGCTTAACTTCATACATACGAGAAATATGATGGATAGATAAAGCCAATCAGGTTGCAGAGAAGTGAGGCTCCATATCCAAACAGAAGATACAACCCGATAAAACTCAGAACACCTGAAAAGGGAGAAAGATGAGATGAGGCAGCATGATGTGAGGGCAGGAGGCAAGACAGGAAGGGGAGGAACCCCCCAAACCAATGTTCAGTCCCCTCCAAAAGTATTGGAACAGTAAGCCAAATTCTTTTGTTTTTGTTGTTCACTGAAGACATCTGGGTTTAAGATCAAAAGATGAGTATGAGACAAGAGTTCAGAATTTCACCTCTCATTTTGTGGTATTCACATCTAGATGTGTTAAACAACTCAGGACATACCACCCTTTGTTTGAACCCACCCATTTTTCAAGTAAGCAAAACTATTGGAACATGTGGCTGACTGATGTTTCTTGTTGCCCAGGTGTTGCCTTTTAGGCTGATTGTCCAAATATTAAATTGCTCTGCATGACTAGTCTAATTTTTCATCCTTGGTTCATACCTATAAAGACTGCATTTCCTGTTAAAGAGGATAAACCAACATGAAGACCAGAGAGCTGTCTATGGGAGAAAAGCAAGCCATTGTCAAGCTGAGAAAAGAAGGAAAATCGACCAGAGCCATTGGACAAACATTGGGCATAGCAAGCACAACAATTTGGAATGTCCTGAAAAAGAAAGAAACTACTGGTGTACTGAGCAACAGACGTCGAGCAGGTCGGCCAAGGAAAACAACAGTAGTTGATGACAGAAATACCGTGAGAGCTGTGAAGAAAACCCCCAAAACATCAGTAAGTGACATCACCAATGACCTCCACAGTGCAGAGGTGAAGGTATCACAATCCACTGTTCGAAGAAGACTCAGAGAGCAGAAATATAGAGGCCACACCACAAGATGTAAACCCACATCAGCAGGAAGGCCAGAGTGAAATTTGCAAAGAAGTACAGAGATGAGCCACAAAAGTTCTGCAACACAATCTTATGGACTGATGAGACCAAGATTAATCTCTACCAAAGTGATGGAAAGGCCAAAGTGTGGAGAAAGAAAGGAACTGCTTATGATCCGAAGCATAAAAGCTCATTTGTGAAGCATGGTGGAGGTAACGTCATGGCTTGGGTGTGCATGGCTGCTTCTGGAACAGGCTCATTAATATTTATTGATGATGTAACTGATGATTGGAGCAGCAGAATGAATTCAGAAGTATACAGAAACATTTTGTCTGCCAATTTACGGAGAAATGCATTGAAACTAATCGGGAGGAAGTTTATCATGCAGCAGGACAATGAGCCAAAGCATACTGCCAACAAAACAAAGGACTTCATCAGGGGAAAAAAGTGGAAGGGTTTACACTGGCCAAGTCAATCACCTGACCTTAACCCAACAGAGCATGCATTTCACCTCCTTAAGGAGACTGAAGGGAGAAACACCCCGAAACAAACAAGAACTGAAAAAGCTGCGGTACAAGCCTGGAATAGCATCACAAACAAAGAATGCAACAGTTTGGTGAGGTTGATGGGTCGCAGGCTTGAGGCAGTTATTGCAAGCAAGGGTTATGCCACCAAATATTAAATGCTATTTACTTTAAGATTATTTGTTCCATTACTTTTGCTCAGCTAAGAATGCTGTGGTCTAATACAAACGGTGATATGTCCTAAGTTGTTTAACACATCTAGATGTGAACAACAGGAAATAAAAGCTGAAATCCTGAACTCTTGTCTCATACTCATCTTTTGATCTTAAACCCAGATGTCTTCAGTGAACAACAAAAACAAAGGAATTTGCCTTACCGTTCCAATACTTTTGGAGGGGACTGTATATGGGTCTTAGTAGTAGTGACAGATTCAGGCCCCAATCTTGACATTTTAATGCAATATATTTGCATTAAAATATCCCCACCCCATTCTCCCTCCTACAAAACATCTCTTGACTGCAGACAGTAGAGAGGAGTATTAGTGAAAAGCAGATTGTGTATAGTGATCGAGTAGTTAGATTGTGCTGTCAGCATTAATTATTTGTATAAATTTTATAGTTGTGTGTTTACAGCATTAATAGGTTAGTTCGTGATTTTAGACAGTTGTTAGATTTTTCCAATTTTAGTAGTTGTAAAGGTTGTTGTAGTTAACAAAAGGACCATCATGAAAGTGCTTCTAAGGAGTCAAGCAGACACAGTGTCTAACCAGCTATGAGCAGCTGACTCCTTAGAAGCACTTTCATGTCTTACTACCAGCTCCATATGGATCGCCGTTCTGCTAAACAGAGCAGAGGTCTGTCTGTCGGCCTCTCTGGTCGGTGTCGTCTTACCTCCCCACATCCCATACTAAGTAGCCACGCCTACAGTGGCAGTCCTGTGTGGATCTCTGCTGTATTTTTTATTTTTTTATATGCTGGGAAAAGGGCGCTAATAGAATTTGGGTGTGTAGTTGCTCTTTAACAAACATATCTAATGTCAGGTCACATTCATTTGTTGTCAACAGAGTGTCTGATAGCAGGATGTCAGGACAGCACAGAACCAGGATTAGGAGGAGCAGTAAACACAAGTCAAACACTGATAGCCACATCCAGTCAGTGGAAGAATTGACTTTTAATACACCACAAAGCTCACACAGTCATGTGAGTATATACAATATGTGAGAGATTCCACAAATGTGATTGGTTTTCCATGACTTAAAAAAAAATTATTATTACCATTACAGTGTATGTGTAATGTCTGAAGGACTCCTTAGATTATTTTAAATAAAAAGGATTTCCACGCATAATGTACAGACTTTTGTTGAGCTTAAAGGTAATAGTTTCATCTAGAGCTGAAATGACTGGTCCGTTAATCAATTAAGCAAACAATAAGACATCAGCAATTATTTAGATAATAAAATAAAAACCAGCTCCTGAAATGAATTGATTTTTTTCTTTGTCACATATGATAGTTAATACAGTATAGTTAATAAATATCTTTGAGACTTGGAATGTTGGTTGGATAAAAAACAAATGTACAAAGACTTCGCATTGGGCTCTCATTTTATAGCCAAAGTGATTAATTGTGATAAATGAATCACTTTGGCTGGCTTAATTGCAGCCCTATGTTTCATCTGTATACAACATATACACAGTGGCCACTTTATTAAGTACACCGGCATAATCTAATGAAATTCAATACAACTACACTGCCATAAAGTCTATTTTCATGATGTTTATAATGTTTAGTTTTTGTTGAAAATGTCAAAGATGTTATTTCAATTACATGTTCTTGTAGTATGGTCATAGTTGGTGGTGCTGTTAGGGTTAGGGGAGGCACATTATATTTAGAGGTGTTTGTAATATTCAGAGCATATAAACAACACGCATGCAGTTTGCTCTACATGGACAGCAAATATCGTTATTAATCATTATAACCATATGTGTTTGTAAAATATGTACATGCCATATGTGATTTTGCACAAATCATAGTTCTGTATACTTCTTTATGTCCCATGTACACTTTATTTCCCCGACACCACATGAATACACCATGAGTCACTGCTCAGCCCTCTTGATTCAAGCACGGAGTAGAAGCTAGTTGTCAGTTATAATCATCAAAATTAAAAGGAATGAACACTTGAAATATATCAGTCTGTGTGGAATGAATATGTATACATTATACAAGTTTCACCTTTTGAATGGAATTACTGAAATAAATCAACTTTTTGATGATATTCTAATTATATGACCAGCACCAGTATTTATTTTTTGATTTGCAATAGATTGTACAGGTAATAAAGTGGCCACTGAGTGTAGCCTATAGGATGTTTTGCTTTACGGGGCTATGTTTTGAATTGCACACAAACACACCAAAAAATAAAAAAAATCTGCGGGAACAATCTGCTCTGTATAATGAACTGAACTGTATACTGCTTGCTTTTAACAATGCATTCCTTCAGAGGCTGAAACAGGCTTACTGGTTAGCTTGCAGCAAGATGCTGACTTCAAAGCAAATACACTGCGGTCTGGTCAGCCAGTTTAGCCTACTAATTTCTTCCATTTGTGATTGAATTCTCCAGCTTAGTCATGTTTTTCTTCACTCAAAACCCATGTTTTCACTTAATGCTCAATTATAGTTTTCCATTATCTTCAAAACACTCCCCAGGCCAATAACAAAATATAAAAATCACAGATCTTTTGTCTCTGTGGTAACCTTGAGACAGGTTTAAGGCAATGTCAGGATGTCTAACCCTCCAGCAGCTGCCATAATCATTCAAACTCATGTAAAACCTAAATTAATAATAAAACTGAACTATCATAAATGCCATAGACATAATGAAGTCACACAGTATCCAAAACACTACAAGCTTTTGATACCAATAAAACCATTGCCTGCTCTTTACATCTCATTTGTTTGTCCCAGCTAATATACAAATAACCATGCATTTCCCTGTCTACCCATACCTCTCATATGAAGGCAGAACTGGAAGAACAGGTTGAAACTGAAGCCCCCAAAGAGACTGCTGACAAAGCAGACACTCCTAGACAGAAATGTTTTGCATAGGGAGATCATAAACTGCCTCTTTTAATCACTCAGTGATTAATAATACAAAGCTGACTGCAGAATCACTTTAACAGCAACAAACACATCCAAACTGGCATGCCATCTGACTCTACACTGTGAGTGAGCAACTCCTGAACTTCTCTAAGAAAATTAGCAATGCATCCATTTGACATGGCATGGATTCTATAGCCTTAAATGAAAACACACCCTTCTTGTGGGAAAGCTAAAGGGCACTTAGGACATTAGTTGCATAATCTTGTATTGTATGACTCAAACTATTCATTAGAGTTGGAGGAGTTGTTAGCTGAAAATCCACTTCCTCTTATCATGAAATCATCACAAAGCCTGTTGTTACAAGTGCAGTGAGTGAGTGTTGGCTTTAAAAAACAAACAACGGCCACTCACTCAGTAAGTTTGGCTGCACACACAGTGGAAATGAGACCTCCCTACTCCAGTCAGCAAATCAGTCTTCACACTTCAGAGTGTCAGAAGAGTCAGCATGAACTTGAGACGTTTCTCCGCTAAACACAAGACACAACTTTGTAACTCTGTTTGACTGACCAGCCCCAGGTCAAGGCAAAGTACAACATAGCATTCTGGTGAGCCAACAGGGAACGTAAACCATTATCATTGCACACGTTTGTAACAAACCTGCAATGTGGCCAAATTGTCTAATGAAGGGTTGTTGCCTCACTAACAAGCCAACAAGACACTTAAGAAGACAGTTGGGCAAAGACATGACAGGTCATGGTGTAATTTGGCTGGTTGTACCTTCTACTAAATACAGGCTACAGGCGTGTCAAGGGGTGATCTGCATACAGTCCTCTGTATTTGTTTTGCTAGTTTGGTGGCGTGTGTTGGGACAAAAACATGCAAGTATTTAAATAAAGATCTGACTTTACCAGACACCCACTGTATCTGGCAAACTGACATTTTCTTAGAATTTGATCATTTTTTAAATTATAAATGACACATGTGGCATTTTTTTACTCAATGACACTCTTCAGAGTGGTTGATGTGGTAGAGGTAGAGCCAGACAGATAAATCGCCTGACTTGTATGGACCCATATTAGCTTATCCCAGATACATCAGCATCAAAGATCTGTCAGCCGATAAGCAGCAATATGTGGAACAGAAATGCAATGGGGAAGTTTAGAACAGGGCTGCAACAAATGTTTGTTCTATTAAATGTCAGAAAACAGTGAAAAATGTCAATCATGCTTTGCCAGAGTCCAAGTTGATAACCTTGAATTTCTTAATTTATCCAACCAAGAGATATTCAATTTACAATCATAAAGAACAGAGTACGAAGCAAATCCTGAATGAATGGTTGCCGTTTTATTTTAAAAAAATGACTCAAACCATTAATCCATTATCAAAATTCATGCCACATAATTTTCTGTAAATTGACTAATCGATTAATCACCAAACATTTCAGCTCTAGTTTAGAAAGTGTTTCCATTACATAGTTAGCCCACCTGAGACCACTAATATGCTTACTTTTCGTAGTAGCATACATTTACATAGTCATAGTACATAATGTACCTTGGTCACAGTTCTATAATAACCAACTATAAAGGATCCTTACCTAAAATGTGTTTATTATGTTAAAAAATAAAGTAAATCTGCTGATGTTCTATTGTTGAACTTTAAAATATGAATATCAATCACACAAATCCAAACATGTTTGTGATCCCAATCTGATATCACGTGGATAAACACAGACAACACGTTTCCCACACACCATTCAACATCCACCGATATTTCTCCTCTGTAACCTTGAAATTGGCTGTCTAAATGCATACCCATGCTAATGTTGTGAACACACATCTGTGTAGATCAATTTTGAGTAAAGATAGTGGGTTTGAATGTAGGTCACACTGGCTAACCTGTTTCCTGTAGCTGAGTGGCATCTACTATGCTGTGACAACAGAGAAGAATCAAAAACACAACTCCTAAATGTAGCCTAAACATAGGGCAGCCTGCAGCTTAATAACCCGTCATCTGAGAATCTCCTTCCATATCTGCTCTGCACTGGGTATTTCAGGATGTGATAAAAATACTCCCGGGGACCAGCTGGTTCTGGCCCTGGGTTATTAGAAGCTGATCATTTCAACAGCAATATTTTGAAATAGGTGTGTGCAAGGAAGGATTATATACCAAGTCTAATCTTATAATGTAGCATAAAGGTCTGGGCTGGGTGAACTTTGTATTCCAGCATGAGAAGGGTAATAAAATGAGCCAGCTCACCGTGCCACAGGATATGAAACTAGCCTACACCAAGTAGGCTACTCTGTGTGCAACAGTGTGACCACAACTTGCTGCCAGTTCCAGTTTGAGTGGCAAATGTTGGTTTGTTTGCTAGAATGTAGCTAGTTCTTAGCAAAGACGTTATAAGCTCCTAAGCAAGTTCATTACTGCCTTCAGTATTTTAAAGTAGGCCTACATTGAAGCATTAAAGGATGTTTGACGAGTTCTTTATTTCTTTTCACCGAGCCGTTAACATACCCAAAACGATGTACTCTCTCTTCACTCCCGTTTTTTGCTCCAACGTCGCCAACTGATCTGTCACAAAGTTCTTCTCACGGAGCAGAGTCACGAAGCGCTCCTTAAACTGACTCATTTTCGGGCTTTCCAGAGCCTGTGTCCAACACAAACCGCACAGAAAAACAGAAACAATGTTAAACGTGCCGATGTTTAAAGTATTGGTGATAAAACAATGCGTTATTTTACTAACTTTGGCTTGATAGCTCGCCCCAAAAACTTTCCGTTGGGTGGATAGCCGCTGACTCCGCCGAGATGCGGTGGTGGTGAGGGGGAGGAGTTTGAACGTCGCCCCGCTGGCGCTGACCAATCACAGAGCTCCGGTGAGTAACGTGTACGGCAGCAGGTGATGAAACAAAGGTTTGTGCTAGAGGTGAACTGGGAAAATATATCTCCTTCATACAAGTACCTCCTTACTAATAAAGGGAAGTTTCTTTTAAAGTTATACATTGCATCCTGCCAGCCACTTTCTTCTCAAACTTAAGGGAGACATATTCTCTCATTCTATGAAACGTAAGCTATCCAGAGACATAATACACCTGTTCTTTCAATGTCCCCACTCTAGCAAATTCTGGAAAGATTTGTCTCAAAATATTAGGCTATTGGTAACACTGACTCTGAATTTTCCCTTTGTTGGAAAAATGTAGGCCTACTGTCCACAAAACAGAAAACATTGTTTCTAATCAATCTTTTGATCTTTCTAGGGAAGTACCATATTCACAAAGCCAAACTTAGTAAAAAATGTTTAAAATGTCGCACTCGCCTGATAACTGATCAATGCTTATTGTGTTTAAGGAGAGACATATTGTATAGCTATAATGTTGTAGTTTGACAAAAGCTTTCAACTGTATTTCATGGTCTTACTCTGTGGATGGAGATTGCTCAGTTGAAATTAGTCACAGTATATTATATAGTAGCCTATAGTATATAGATTTATACAAATAAAAAAATATCTAGAACATTTTACATTTAGTTAGTATTGTTTAAATATGTTGGCATAGGACAATGTTAAACAAATTCTAGGATTTATGAGAAATGTTGGTTGTAAAACATGCACCTCATGAATATCTTTTAAATGATAACAGTTGTTATTGTGACGCCCTGTGGGGTCACGTGCGTGTGACCAATTTCTATCCCTTGCAGGTGAAGAGCTGAGACTGATTGCAGTAACTCTGGGCACCTGGTCTAATTGTCCTGTAGAGTATTTGTAACTCTGGGCCTTTCCGAAACTAGACCCTTGCCACTGCAGCATAGAGTGAACTCTGGTCGGAGTCACCCTCACAGCCCAAATCGAGCTCCCTAACCCGCGTAGGGTTTAAACAGGCCTACAGCGACAACTTTTGGACGAATTACCCTCTCCCCACAGCGTAAATAGGATCCAACGTTACTGCTGCACTCACTGCTATAATACGTGTAGGGGAGACCGGTTATGGTTGTAACATGGGGAGAGTTGCAACAACACCAATTCCACCAAATAGAGATAAGATAGGAGTTAGGTGATCATTTCAGTATTTACCTACTTCCTCCCAGATCAAGCATGGTGGTTATCAAGTCTGGAAAGAGGTGTATTCAGAATATATAAGGAAAAAACTGATTTTGAGGTAAGAAAGTACATTTTTTGACCAAGACTATTTTTTGTTTAGTGTCTATACTATTGCAGATAGAATTGTTTGACTTATATTAGATTGAAATATAGTTTCTCAGGTAACTTGTGATTTTTTTTTTTCCTTTCTAATTTCAAGCCACTATGGTAATACCACTAGCTCAACATTGGCTGACAGGGGTGGGGTGGGTTGTAACACTTCTTTAAAAAGTGTTACAACCATCCTCTATACATAAAACTAGGGACTTTCTTTGATTTTAATATTTTACAGAGTGCCCTATGCAGTCTGGGCCCACCAAACCCGCACTCCAGGGTTACCAGCATTAATTTGTCAGCACTGTGACCTGTGGCCTGTACTATGAAGGGAGTTCAACCTATTCAGAGTTAACTCGGGGTTATCAGGCAAACTCAGGGTTGACAAACTCTGACTGCCTACACTGCAGTTAATCGGTACTACAACGGTGGATAAGATGTTGGTTAGTTGAGTCAGTGTTAACCCCGGGTTAATTTAATTGGAGTTGGTGCGCGTTTGCATAAAAGGGGTGTGTTCGGCCGTGCAGGCAGAGTTTTTTCTCAACGGTGCATGCTCCGTATTTCTCCAGAGGAATGCACGTTGGTAGTGTCAGGAAATTATGAATGTAAAGACAAGTTAACGGCTAAATCTAATATCGTGGCGGACGACAAAGGCAGGGCGGCTTGTTGGCATCGCATAGAGTAAATTTGTAGCCTAACTATCTTCCCAGTGTTCTTATTGTAGTTCAAATCTCTTATGTATTTTATGGGCTCTTCTTTTATGTGTAATATGATTAAGATGTAAAGGTACAACTGCACATAAGGTCAATTGTAATAGAAGAAAAGGAGCCAGCGGAGAGGGATAGGCTAATAACCCGAGACACAATTTAATTTCCAAGATTAATCTACAAGTAAAAAACTTGAATATTCTCTGACATTAAAATCACACATTTATGAGAGAAACTTCACTTTGCAAGGCTGCAACATCACACACACACACACACACACACGTCTGCCGTGTAGTATGCATGCATTGGAAAGTTATATTAAACTTTGCAATCGGATTTAGCAGTGAGGAAATACTCGTGAGTTTAGCCCACAATCACTATCATGCACCTTTAGAGAGTTTGCCTTGGATTGGGCTTATTCAGAAGAAAACAGATTTTAGATTTGTGACATTAACCTCAGGGAATTTCCCATTTTTCTTCTTGAAAATTTCACACTTTAATCTAGGATTTGTTTCTAGGTTATTAACCCTCACCCTGGCTCCATATTTTTGGACACGTAAAATAGTCAATCTAAATAAACCTATGTGAAAACACTTAGGTGAATTCAATTATAGACTACAGATGGTTTACATCTAAGGAACTATCCCGTTAATTAATTAAGACTCCGCTCTGAAATCACCGAGGATGCAGGGCTCGCTGTCTGAACATAGCCTAATGCTGTTGTGTTCAGAACTTCATTGCAACTGCAGTGGAATAAATCAGGATGAAATCTAAACATTTTATGAAGTGGTGTGTAGCCTATATATCCTACTTCTCATCATTAACACCGAGTACAGATGTGGTGTGTAGTCCATGTGCAGGGTAACCTCGAAACCTGCTCGGAGAAGTTTAGAGATGCAGCGTAAATTGCCATGGCAACAGACCTCAAGTAACACCTATCCACCTTTCGTAGTACGGGTTAACGGGGAAGTTACACCCGACGTCACCAAGTTACTCCTGAAGTTACCTGGATAAGCCAGTTACCCCGATTCGTAGTACAGGCCACAGTACGTCTCGGGTTATGTATGTAACCCTTGTTCCCCGAGAAGGGAATGAGACGCTGCGTCGGTGACGACACTATGGGAACGCCTCTGGGCATGGCAGGGCTGAAATCGTGAATGAAACTACTCCAATCCTATTGGTGTTGCTAGAACGGTAGCGTGTGATGACGTAACTGGAGGCGTATACAAGCATGCCGGCACACCTTAGCTTTTTTTCTATTCAGCAGGCACTCGTACTGCATTATATTCCTTTTATATTTTGAATTGTCACCTTAATTTAGTTTCCCTTCATATAAATAGACATTTCCTCCATAATTTGGTGCAGAAAATGTGTTCAGAATGCAGGAAATGAAGTGGTTAATGCACAAAGTTGTTGATGTTATAATTACTAGCTTCATCTTATGGTTGAGGATAGTGCAAAGAAAAGTGTGTGTGTGTGTATGTATGTATGTATGTGTATATATATATATATATATATTTTTTTTTTTTTTTTTTGCAAAGCATCTTACATGTTGGCTGTCCATGTTGGCTTAAAAGTATTTTTTTTTCTGTGTGTACCAATAGATTGATGGTAGGAATCGTCCGTTTGATAAAGGCTTAAAAATGTAATGTAGGCCTACTCTGCTGCAAATGACACACAAAGGCCTATGAATGCTAACAGGAACCTATAGAAGTCTTAATTTCTGAAAATAAAAGCCTGCTAACACTGAGGTTAAGTTTCATTCATGGCCTCTGTTAGAATTTTTTCTTTATATCCCAGCTGAAGCATCTGGGTTAAGATATTGATCTACATGATCATTGAACTAAAATACAAATCCAATGTCAATATAAAGTTGTTGTGAAGCTGGAGTGCCAGCAGAGGGCAGCCGGTACCTATTTATGAACACAAAGGCCTTACAGCAGAGAGGAACAGAAAGCCAGAAGTGTTGTGGTGCTACAGAATCTCCCCACTACCTTGTGTTCTTTTGTTCCCCCCTTCCCTGTGTTTTCTGTCTGTCCTCCCTGTCTGTGTCTGTCTGGGCGTGGCTACACTCTCTGGCTTCAGCAGCGCACCTGGTTCTCATTCCACTAATCAAGCTCCTGCAGTATTTCAACCCCAGTCCTCCTCACATTCTTCGCCAGATCGTCAGTTAACCACATGTGGTATATGCGTCAAGGCCAACTATCTTCTCCTGTAAGATTCCCTGTAATTTCTGTCTCCCTGGATTAACCTGTTTTTCTCTGTGCCCAGGATCACACTACCTCCGGGAAACCTGCTGAACGCCACACCCCGCTCTGCTCCTATCTTGCCTGGGCTAACTCCCCTCCTCTGTGTTCTCCATTCTGCCCTGTTGGAGCCAACCACCCAGTCCTCCGTTGCACCTTTCAATAAAACCCCTTTGTTACCCCTTCGAACTGTTCCGAGTCTGCCTTTGAGTCCTCAAGTTTTTGCACTATGACAAGAAGTATCCATACATGCTTAATCAGTCCACAGGGAGATGTAGCCTATAATTACTTCACCTCCTCTCATTTTCAGTTTCACAAGGACAGTTGTGCCCTGTAAATATATTTTGCATGACTTCTATGCATCACTGCTCCTCAGAATTTAAGCTCTCATGTCACAGAGTCTGAAATGTTTTCATGCACTCTGAAAACTGCATCAGGATGATGTTGCTAATAACTCTGCTTGTGTTCTTGGGTTTCCTGAGTCAGGGTGAGAGATTTATAACAACTAACCAACAACTTAACACTATCTAACATTGTTAAATATCACTTCCATGTGCAGTCTTAAACATATATTCTTTGTTTCAAAAGAAAAATTGTCACAAAGTAATATAATCCAGATATCCTGTACTATCAGAAAAGAAACAAAGACATTGACTAATTATAATCCATAGTTTTATTGAATGATGGTTTAATGTTCGTGCCACATTTTGATGAATGAATAGTTTAAGTAAAACTAATACAATTCAGTAAAATTTGAAAAGTAATGAACGTAAAGAAGAATATGCAGATTATATAATATACATATATATAATAATATATAATATATAAGCAACATGCACACTAAAACACTGAGTAGAAGCTGTGAAACTTGCAGAAATATCAGAATCAGAATCATCTTTATTGCCAGGTATGTGTACACATACGAGGAATTTGACTCAGGATTATACATTGCTCATGATGTGCTTACTCATACAAAAATAACATGACACAATAATATAATAATAAAATAAAATCAGACACAAACTACAGTATAAACACTAAAATACACACTATGAACAAAACAATATAGACATATTGACAAATAGTTCAGTGATCAGAGTGCAAAGGATGCAAGAGTAAACTATTATTCTCATTATGTACATGTTGAAGGTGGATATGATATACAGGTACACATACATGCCTACATGTACACATGTACACAGTGTGATGGAGAATAGTGCAAAGGATGCTGGAAAAAATAAACAAGACCTATGACCTTATGACCTGAGGTAGGTGTATTGGTATACAGTATATACAATATGACATAGTATGAACAGCACTGAAATAGAGAATGGTGAATAAATAAATAATAAGTGGTAACCAGTAAACAGGTGCTGATTAGAGACAGAGTTACTGGGTTTTTGCACAGGAATTGTTCCTGACACTGTGAGTCAGAAATCAGCTGTTCATCAGAGTGATGGTTGGTGGGAAGAAACTGCTTCTGTGTCTGTTGGTTTTAGTGTACAGTGCTCTGTAGCACCTACCAGAGAGGAGGAGCTGGAACAGGTTGTGCCCGGGGTGAGATGGTTCCCCTTCGAGGGAACTCGAACTGCGTCGGTTACGACACTATGGGAACGCCTCTAGGCGAAGCAGGTCTGAACGTGAATGAAATCACTCCAATCCTATTGGCTTGTTGCTAGAACGGTAAGGTGTGACGGAATAACCGGAGGAGTATAAAGCACACCTGTACAAACTCATCATTAGCTTTTTTTATTCAGCAGGCGCTCTGTATGTTGTTTGAAGAAAGCTCCAGTCCTACAAGCAGTGTGTCTTACCTGAAGAAGAAGTCTACCAGCATGTCCGGCAACCAGAAGTACAGAAGGTGTGTTTTTTCTTGCCCTCGGTACATCACGGATGGAGATTCTCATGAGATGTGTGTCTCATGTTTGGGGATGGAGCACGCACGGGCAGCTCTCGAGGGGGCTGCCTGCGCCCGTTGCGAAGCCCTTTCCGTGCGGGTACTGAGGTACAGCATGGCTCTCTTTCCGAGGATGGCCGGATGTGTTTTCCCTGTGGCGCGGGCCCTGCGGCCGCTGAGGCGGCCCGGCGGCTTCACTCATGGGTTCACAGCATGATCTGTCGGAGGATTTCGGGACGGCTGAGGCTTTTTCCCGACCTTCATCCGCTGGCTCCGACGCTTCCTTTCCTCGTTCGGGAGCCCGTTCTCGGCTTCTCCCGCTCGCGGTTTGGATCCGGAGACGCTGCAGCAATCCGACTCCGAGGAGGCGGACGTGCTCAGTGCAGTGGACGATGACTTCCGGGTGTCGGGGCGGCGTCATCTGGCCGCGCACGACTATGACGTGCTGCTGGAGGTGGTGACTAGAGCCGTGGCTAAGCTCAACATCAACTGGCCACGGGAGGAGCAGACACCACAGGCTAGTGGTAGCTTGATGAAAGGTTTCTTAAGCACCACACGCCACCTCCACGCCGGTCTCTGCCATTCTTTCCTGAAAAGAAAGTACATGATGAACTGAGTAATCATGGGGCAGACCCTTCTCTACATGGCTTTCCACACCCCGATCACTGAACTACAGTAATGTGATGGGGGTTAGGGACCGTGGTTATGAGAGGATGCCTCGGGTGGAGGATGAGCTTGCGAGCTATCTCTCCCCTCGACTTGCGTCCTCCCTGGAGAAGCCGGCGTTACCATCCAAACCATGTCGCACCACATCCACGCTCGTGGGGAAGGCGTACATGGCAGCGGGCCAGGCAGGTGCGAGCTTGCACACCACGGTGCTTCAAGCCTACCAAGCCAACCTGCTACAGGAGATGGTTCAGAGGGGGGGTCCCTCCGAGGAAGATCTGGCGGAGCTTTGCAGAACCACGAAGCGTTAGACGCAGTGCGAAGCGTTCCGCCAGTACCTCCCTCGCCGGTCTGGACCCAAGGCAGCTGAGGCTGCCAGGCGTAGGTCCCTTCCCTCTACGAGCTCCTACGGAGAGGAGAGGAAGCAGAGTGTCGCTTCTCGGGGGCCCCCCGAGGAGCTGGGGCAGCGAGACGGCGCTCTCACCCTCAGCCGTCTGAGAGACGCGATCTGAGGACCGTCATCCAGTCCCGACGGAGCTCAGGGAAGACCGGGGTAGGGGAGTCTTTCTCCCCTCCCGCACCCCCCCACCCCCCCCGCCGTGGCAACAGGTGATGTTATCCCGCCGTTTACACGTTCAGGACGCACCTGCCACCATCGAGTCCGCGCCGTACTGCCTGCCCCGAGGGTCTGCAGGCGGACGGCATCCCGACTCACTCACCGTGGATCTTCGGCGGCTCCCCCCTGCCGTTCTGGGGCTTCAGGGGTCCACCAGAAGATCACACGAGACCCCGACCACCAGCCCCGAGGGGCTGGTTCCGTTGGCAGACTTTGCAGACGCTTGGCGGAGCCTGACGAACATTTCTCCGCGGGTCCTGCGCACTGCCATAGATGGGTATCGACTACAGTTCAAAACCCGCCCTCCAAATTCAACAGAAGAGAGGGGGTGGTTTGGACTGTGGTCCGCCCGGAGCAAGGTCCGGTGTTGGGACAGGAAGTTTGTACTCTGCTGAGGAAAGGGGCCGTGGAACGTGTCTCCCCCCCAGACAGAGACGCCGGTTCTACAGCCGGTACTTCATAGTCCCCAAGAAGGACGGAGGGCTGTGTGCCCTATTTTGGATCTGCGGGTTCTAACCGGTCTCTGAGGAGATTCAGGTTAAAGATGCTCATCATCCCCGCCACCGTGACGCACATCCAATCTGAGGATTGGTTCGTCACGATAGATCTAAAGGATGCCTATTTCCAGGTCTCCATCCGTCCTTCTCACAGGAAGTTCCTGAGGTTTGCCTTCGGGGGTGTGGCTTACCAGTATCGGGTTCTTCCATTCGGCCTGGCACTTTCCCCTCGCACATTCACCAAGTGTATGGATGCAGCACTGGCCCCGCTGAGGCTCCGGGGCATCCGGATTTCAACTTCATCGACGACTGGCTCATCCTAGCCCAGTCTCGAGAGTTGGCGGTTCGGCATCGAGATGTCGTTCTGGCTCGTCTGCGGCGTTTAGGGCTGAGGCTCAACGCAAAGAAGAGCGTGCTGGCGCCCACCCTACGGGCTACGTTCCTAGGGGTTGCATGGGATTCGACAACGATGCGGGCACAATTGTCTCCGGCACGTGTCGACACCATATTGGCTGCCGTGAAAGGGGTGAAGTTAGGCCACGCCATCACTATGAAACACTTTCAACGAGTGTTGGGTCTCCTGGCGGCTGCGTCCAGCGTAATACCATCTGGACTGCTGCACATGAGACCCCTGCAGTGGTGGCTAAGGAACAAGGGTTTTTCCCCGAGGGGAATCCTCTCCGTCTGGTTTGGGTTACGCGCAAGTGTCTTCGTTCCCTATCAGTTTGGAAGGAAACTTGGTTCCTGTCCCAGGGGCCCGTGCTGGGAGGGTCTTGTCGCCGGCTGGTTCTTTCGACAGACGCCTCCCTCACGGGCTGGGGCGCGGTCATGGACGGCCGCTTTGCAAGGGGATCCTGGCAGGTGCATCGATCCAAGTGGCATATCAACTGTCTCGAGATGTTGGCGGTGTTCCAGGCTCTAAGGAGTTTCCTGCCCGATCTCCAAGGCCACCACGTCCTGGTTCGTTCTGAGGAGAACAACACAGCGGTGGTGGCCTATCTGAATCACCAGGGCGGTCTGCGCTCGCGCCCTCTGGACAGACTGGCGCGTCAGATCCTCCTGTGGTCCCAGCAGAGGTTACTATCGCTCAGGGCGATGTATCTCCTGGGGACGCAGAATCAGGGAGCAGACCTGCTGTCGAGGCAGGGGCTGAGGCCCGGGGAATGGAGACTTCACCCCGAAGTGGTGGAGCTCTTGTGCGAAGAGTTTGGCCCCATAGACGTGGATCTGTTTGCGTCTCAAGAGACTACGCACTGCCCGCTATGGTTTCTCTCGTTCCTCCAGCCCCGTTGGGTCTGGACGCCATGGTACATTCGTGGCCGAGGCTACGTCTGTACGCTTTTCCCCCAGTCGCTCTGCTCCCGGGGTTCTGGAGCGGGTCCGCCAGGACTATGTCGGCCTACTGCTCGTAGCCCCGTTCTGGCCAACCCGGGTGTGGTTCTCAGACATCATGTCACTCCTGGACGGGAGAGACCTGCTGTCCCAGGCGCAGGGCCGGGTTCTTCACCCTTTC